AAACCGTAAACCCTAAACCCTAGCCCCCTCGTCGCTGCTTCCTGGCGGCTGCCCCAAGCGTCAGCGCATTGGCTGCAAGGCCCAAGTCGATGAGCGCGCCGCCCACAGCCGCGGAGCCACCTGAGACAGGCAGACTGCCCCAGCGGGTTGAGAGTTTAGGGTGCAGGCTCTAGGGTTCAGGCTTTAGGATGTCGCGAAAATCTTGCAAGGCATCACCTCGACCCGGATAGATTCTGCCGGAAGCATCAACATACCATGCAGCTCTCAATCAGAACTTACAATTACTGTTAACATACCTGAATACCTAGCCGCGGTCCCTTCACCCTTGCAAAGCAGATATTTATTCGTGTCCCTGAACATTGTGATTTTTAGCTTCAAGTCCCACTGACCAAGCAGCCAGTGGCGGGAGACGCGGCCAAGAGCAGGGCAGCAGCGGGCACCAGCATGCCTACCTTACCACCAGGACAGTTCCCTGGGCCCTACGTGAACACGTGGAATCTGGCCAAGGCCGATTCTGGCTAGGCATGTCGTGGCTCGCTGGGACAGGAGAAAGAATTAATGTGATAGCAGATGAATGCATTCTGCCACTACCTGGGTGTGCATCGGAATCAGTATCGTATCCGGCATACCTCCGAACCAAGTAACCACAGCACGAAGACTGCAACGTTTGCTTGGGTCGAGGAGCCCCACCGGCATGCACACGGACGAAGGCCGATGGATCGTTGGAGACTGCAGGGTGCTCGGGAGGGGCCGCCTGAACCTCAAGCCCTAATCTGAAGCTCAAACCATGAGGTCGTCGTGAAATCAAGTCGCCGTCTGCAAGCCCTTGCGGACGGTGGCTACCGGCATGCCTTGCGCCAGGGATCGATCGGCAAAGCCACCGACTGCCATGCCCACGAGGGCCTGCAGACTTCTTGCTACCAGGGTTTTGGGGTTGGCGGGTTGGCTTTCGGGTAAAGGATGCTGGGTTAGGGCCAGGGATTACAATTTTTGTGTGCAACCAAAAACAAAAGCAAACACGAGCCTGTCACCGGAAAACACATGCTGCCCCTCCGGCGGCAAAACTTCGAATCCAACCGGGCTGTACACCTAAACTCACCTGCTTCTTGTCTGACACCGTCCTGTTCTGTCGGCAATGTGAAGAGGAGCCAGGAGCGCATGCACAGAATCACCAGGCATGTACACTGAGTGCCTCTCGGTTTCAGAATGAGAACGGAGATGAGGGCACGCCTGAAGAAAATGCTGATGTGAAACCTGATGATAGAAAAGGATAAGGATGATGGTGATTATGCTGATAATGACGATGGTGGTGATGAACCAGAAGCTGACGGGCGCACAGCGACCTGACTGACTCGCGGCTTCAACCGCCGTCCTGCTAGTACTGCTTCAGTTACCTTTGCACTTGCACAGACTATTGGTGACTCCTATTGGTACGAGGCGACTCTTTTGCATGACTGCTCTCAGCGATGCAATCCTATGCTTGTGTAGGTACTGGCAATCGCAATTGCCTTCTTCTTCATCTCCTGTGAACTGCACCTGACATGCTTCCTGCCTCGTAGAAACTGCGGCGGCATTGATGTCGACGCGCTACGTACTTATTGTGCTATTTGCATGCGTTGCCTGCAGAAGGTATGGCAGCGTTGTCAGCGCCGGCCTCAGATACCACAGGCTTTAACTGGGATAGTGACATAAGTACATTGCTTAATGTATTTGTATATGTGCGTACGTACCCTCATTTCTACACAGCGAAAGTTCGTGTGAATGTGTGTCCATATGTATAATACATACATAAATAATTGGAAAATATTCAATTATTTAAACAATAAATATATATATATATAATGCGAATACATGTCATTTGTTGGTGCCACAACTTGGGCGGCACCTGCACAGAAGTGCCTGTGTGAATACCATACGTCAACTCGCGAAAGGTGGATCGTGAAGCGTCGGCCCGATTTTGAAAGTTAATAAGGAAAATACGAGTTGTCGTAGTAGTCATGATACGGTTTAAATTAACAAGAACAAACTTTGTACACCAAAACGTTGTTAACAACTGGTGGTGATACTATTTTTCCACAGTAGTTATGATACGATTCGTGCTGGCAAAAGCCGAAAATTTCAGAAAACGGAGCCTAATTCAGCGTGATGATGGGAAGTGAATAGTTAGTGCTACGATGGCAATTTTTCAAAGCTCCTATCTCCGGCATCCACTGGCTGCGGTAGCAATAAGAAGCCGAAAAACAAGTCTGCCAGGGCCGTGCCGTACTGCTCCGCGAAGAAAGTGGGGAGCCTGGGACAGAATCACAGCAAGTACCCAAAAAAAGTAGCAAACTGAAGCCTATCCCTTTGAAGCTATGCAGCAGCGATTGCTACTCACCCCAACAACCCTGCAACCACAAAAGACACCAGCAAGGGGAGCTGAAATACTCCGGTCCTCAGAACTGAATCTGGAAAATCCCGTACAAGCTCGCACATGCAAAGCTGAAGGAGCCATTCGGAAACACCTCTGCCCTGGAATTCACGACTTGCCATCTTTTGGGAAACCTCAGCAGAAGACAAGAAGATGCAGGCAGTTCGCCAGCTGAGCAGACCGTAGAGCCCAAAGCCGTTAGTGTACCTCAAACGGGTTTATGGTTTAGGGTCAAAGCAACTATGAAAAATATGGGTTTGGGCTCATGTGGGTATGGAAGGCCTTTCTTGGGAGGCTCCGCGCAGCGGTTCGGCGCTTCGTCTAGGACTAAGACATTAATCTATCTATCGATCTATTACCGATTTGTTACTCTATCCATCGATCTAACTATCTTTCTTTCTATCTAAATATGTATATTGACATATTGATATTTGTATGTAGGTTTGTGCTTGTATCTACATACGTGTGTGTGTGTGTGTGCGTGTGCTTGTGCATGTGTGTGTAGTGAAGATATAGCCAATACGGTTGAATCTATCAATGTCGAAATCTTCGCTTACATCTATACATGTACCTATGTTATATGTGTGTGTATATATATATATACACACACACGCACATATCTGTATGTGTGCGCTAGTGTCTGCCCGGAGTCACGCTTCACAAATGTATGGTTGGTTTCAAGATTTAGGGCCAGGGATTTAAGGCTTTATTTGCATTTCACCCGACAGGATCAGTCTACCATGATCCTGGTGGAGCCCGCTGGCTGCAAAGCTTCAACTGATGCTACTTTTGGAGCAGACCTTCCATAGACCCTACACGCTTCACCGTCGAAATTAATGGCAACCCGACAGCCCTTAGCTCTGACGCTGCAGAGCTCAGGAGCCCTCTCAGAACACCCAAAGAGCGAGCAGTGACCATGTCCATTTTCTAATCATGCACCACCCCCTAGCACCCAAACCAGAACAACCCCCCGTACCTCAAGACCCAACTCACCGACAAACCCAAGACCCACAGAATGAAAACCATACTATGGAACCCTGCCCAACCCCGTAGAAAACAACATACTCAACCCCAAAATGGAAATGGTATATGCAAACTCAAAGACCCCGCACATGCTGAAGATCCCCTACGTCCCGGCTTTCGGGGTTCTTTTTGGGGTTGGGTGTCGGGTCGGGCCATCAGCCCAGGCACTGGGCCACGCAGATAGCCAGGACTTCCTTCGTCCGCACGAGGGGGAGCAACTCCTCGTGCAGGGCTTTGTCTTTTCGTAGAGAATGGGACCTTGCGTGGGTTCCTTAAAAGGGTTCCTTCAGGGTATCTTTATACAATTTTATACAGGGCATCGTTTTGTGCGATCTTGTGCAGATTCTCAGCAGTGCTCCTTCAGAGTGCCGGTAAAGCCCTCCGCGATCTTCGCAGGAGAGAAAGCCTCTGCAGAAGGAGACCTGCTGAGGGCTCTTAGGGTTTAAGGTTTAGGGTTTAGGGTTTAGGGTTTAGGGTTTAGGGGCTTATGTGGAGACCGCAAGCGATTTGTTTTGTACAGAACATCAACCTGCTGGAGAATGACAGCCTGCCCTGCGAGCTATCATCAAGACTGGAATCATGCCATCACTTTACCTAGGGGTTTAGGGCTTCAGGGTTTTAGGGGTTTACAGGTTTACTTGGAGGATCATGGGACTTAGTAAGTAAGGTTACAAGTCCCTTAATTGGGGTTATAAGTATAGTTACCCTATTTATAACCCTACTTACTAAGTCCCATGATCCTCCAAGTAGGGGTTTAGGGCTTCAGGGTTTTGGGGGTTTACGGGTTTAGGGTGAATCCCGAAATGGGAGATTCCGAAAATAGGGGGCCCTAATATAGTACCCTAAATAGTAGGATCCTTATTATAAGGACCCCAAAATAGGGTACCCTAATTTTCGGAAACTCCCAAATAGAACCCGGACCAAAGCCTCGTCGCAGATGGACTTGCGATGTCCACGGCCAACCAAGGTGGCAGCCAGAGCAAGGCCAAGGCGCCGAAGCCGAAAAAGGACGTCTCAGCAGTGATTGTTACTACTACGGTTATTATTATTGTTGTTACTATTATTATTTCTGATTGTTGGTATTCTTAGTGCTATTTAGTAGTATTCGTATTACTATTAGCGGAAGAAGGGCAGGCTGCGTAAGGGGACGCTTGGTCTTTCAACCCAGCTCTCAAGCTCCCTTTTGCATCCCTCCACGCCGGCCTTTGCAGGGATCAACGGCTGTTTTTTTTGAGGGCCTTTGGGTGTCCGCCTTGCAACGTCTAGGATCAACGGCTTAGGGTTCAGGGTTCAGGGTTCAACATCAGACTTCCAAGCTCTGGGACCCCAAGACGACTCAAGCTCAACGGGTGTCGAACCATGGCTGGACGACGGAAGCAGTACTGCCTGCCAGCCATAGTTCTCGATAATCCCGGGAACCAGCAGGAATGCAAGCCTGCACAGAGCCAGGGAACTTCTCCAGCGAGGGCTCAGAGTTTAGGTCCGGGTGTCGGAATGACGGAGGTTTTGGTTCATGAGTCCTATGCGCAGAAGTAAATCCCAGCAGTCACATTCAAGAGAATGGGTCTAAGACTAGTCAGCCCTACACGGCCCTACAATTTCGAAGCATGATCAATCCTAGCGCGGCAGTGTGGTCACAGGCACCCAAGCCCCAACACATCTTGCACCCGGCAACCCGGCTCCACCGTAGGACGCCGCTGTCACGAGTCCAACCGCGAAGGACTGCCTTAGCGGTTGGCTTTCAGGACACGGAATTTGCATGTGGGAATTGCCAGTGGCAGGTGTCGCTGCATCAGAAGAGTTCGGTTCGAACCATTGATGCGTGGTATCACAGCATGCTAGTTCATATTAACTAAGTGTCCGCCTCCTCCGCCTCCTCCGCCTGTGCCATGTCATCATCACCATCATAACTGCATCTGTCGGCATTAGCGTCATCATTATCCCCGTGCTCGTCCCCCTGCCCATTGATATCAAGCTCCTTTCATACCACATCAATGCTTACGATTTTCACCGCCACCATCAACATCAACACCACGCCTATCACCATCACCCCGACTACCGCCACCACGGCTACTGCTGTCGCGATCTTGATCCCGCCGTGCTGGACTCTTGCTCTGCTTACGACGAAAACCCAAGCTAAACAACAAGAGCCAAACAAACATGTCAACCTGCTCATGGCCGAAGAATGCAACTGCAGAACTCTAGAGCGGCGCAGCATGCCTACTAGCTTGCACCCCAAGCCCACGAAGAAACAGTCAGACATTACCACCGCCTTCGGAAGGGACGGGACACTGGCTTCGAGGAACCAGCCGGGCTATCGCTGCATGCACAGCTGGAAAAGCGACTCCTGTGCCAACTTTTTCGCTTCAAGGAGTCTCCTTATGGTCTGGAGTCTGGAGAGGAACCTCAAAGCGTGTCGCAGACTCAGGAGTGATTGCATCACTCCTGAGTTTGCATCTTGCACTCTACACGACGATGCAAACCGGATAGACCAGAAAGATCTTGCGATGCTTTCAGCGAGAGCAGGGGTTGGGGAGTTAGAGTTAGGCTGCCCAGGTTGCACTGCAGAGTGTTCGAAGTGCTTCCTTGGATCTACAGCAAGTCTCCTCGAAATGATCACAACGGGAGCGACCCGTGTCATGGCAAGGCTGTACCTGTACCTCTTGAGCTCAGGCACCCCAGCAACTTTAGTCCAGAGTTTACGATGTTCTAGGTTCTATGCATATAGGGAATCTATAGTCCTATATGCACACATACATGAAGCCTCAACCGAACTTCAAATATGATGGCGGCAGGGCTCCAGCGAAATTTCCGGGTCCTTCGCCCAAGCCTAAAGTTAGCCGCACGGCAAGCAGAGGACCTATGGCCAAGGGCAGATAAAACCCACACGGCTTTAGGGTTTAGGGTTTAGGGTTTAGGGTTTAGGGCGTAGGGTTTTGGGTTGCAAAAATCTTGTCACAAATCATCCAATGCCATTCCCAGACAGAATAGCTCCGACAAAAATAGTGCCGGCATGTGCGAAAAGTGTGAGTGAAAGTGTGTAAACATTGCACTGCCCCATAACATGGAAAACCTGTTGAGCGGTATATGTACGTATATACAAACAGGCATGTAGACATACTGCCGACCTCAGAAACGTTTCCATGACCAGCACGAGCACACATGCCTCGCTGCAGTATGACCAAAGGATGAAGTCATCAGCCAAAGACTGGTTTCTTCTCTGCATGTCCGCACACGTCTAGGCATGGCCGACTTCACACAAGCTTGCAAGATCCGCAGGTAGAATTGGCAGAATAGCTTGCATTTCCAGAGTGATGCAACAGACAAAGAGCTGGCCAAATTGAACAATAAGCTAATTCGCCGTGCGCAAGAACACTCACGTGCGCCTACAGGCAGACTCTGTCCGACCAACGTAGACACACCGTCATTCACGAATGCAGCATGATGTTTTGCCTCGGCAACAAACCAGACTTACGCCAAACTGCAGGATGTAAATTTCCTTCTGTCTTGCCCATGCGAATCGGCTGGAGGCCCGATGAATCAAAAGCTCCGCAAACCCTAAACCTGACACCCTGCACCACAGACTGACAAGATCCAAAGCACCCGGGGCACCTGCACCTGCAGCGGCCGCCAGCGGCGTCAGCGCAGTGGCCAAAGACCAAGTGCTTAGCCCTCGGAAGGCAAGGCTGTCGGTTGCTCGCCGGGGTGCCAGGAGGCCTTTCGGATTGTGGTCTCTTCTTCTCCGTGGATCGGAAGCCACGATGCTGTGTGAGAATATGATGAAAATGGCTGCAGTGGATACGAGCTGTGCCCCGGTTTCGACATCGGTCGCCCCGGATGCCGAGACGGAACACAGTGTTTGCAGTACCTGTCTCTCTACCTATCTATCTATCCATCTACCTATCTGTCTGTCTATCCGTCAATCTATCTGTCTGTGTGCCTGTCTCTCTGTCTTATCTGTCTGTCTACCTACCTACCTACCTACCTACCTACCTACCTACCTACCTACCTACCTACCTACCTACCTATCTCCCTATCTATCTATCTATCTATCTATCTATCTACCTATCTGTCTTTCTAGCTGCATACTCTCTCTGGTCATCTGTACCTGTATATACACATACACATATACATACACATGCAGGTACCTCACATACAAACACATGCACATGTACATGTACCTGTAAATGTACACACACCTATACATATACCTACAGCTATGCATATACATTAAATATGCATGTGCACATGCATGTTAATGCATATAAATATAGACTTGTACATATAAATATACATCTACATATGCATACACATACAATACCTACACATATATATATATATATATATGTACATACTACAGATACTACAGATACTTATACATATACATACACACACATATAATGTGTATATGTAAATGGACACGTGTGTGAGAGCGCTAAAGAATTACACGCAGGTATGACTATATGTGCATTTATAGACATAGATGTAACCTCTGGCTCTCTCGCAGTTTATCCCTTCTCATTCTCGTTCGTCCTGCTTCTCTGCTGCTGCAAAAAACCTCCCCAGAAGACACGCTGCCCTTTGCTGCATGCACATTGCTCATCCGAGCCAGCATCTGGCCTCACATCATCCAGCCTAATGCTATGCCTAAACCCTAAACCCTGCTATGCCTGGCCCACAGCCCGAAACATGGCTCCATGGCAGGTCCTGCAGCCAGCACCCATTTCGTCCCCAGGACATCGGCAAGGCGTCCCCCGAGCAGCTGCGTCGCCGCGTAACCTCCGGTTCCCAATCATGTAGGAGTTTGGACTATGTCTACATGCCAAAAGCCCAAATCTTCATGCCCGAGCCACCTCCGAAGAAGGCGGAAAGGACGGTGCCTTCGAAGGCCTGAAGATGAGCTGCAATGTGTCATCCTTGCTGGTGGTGATGAGGTATTGTCTTGAGTGCTGAAAGCCTCACAGTTGTGGCTCCGATAGCGCTGGGTTATCTTGTCATCACTGCTCTCCATCACTGCGCATATTTCCATTCACTTCAATCTGCTTCACCTCTTCTTTGCCTGTCACAAAGTCTGTGCTTGAGTTGTTGGAACAGCTCATGCCGGAAAGAACAGAGGGCTAGAGTAGCGTATACCTGAGTGCAGAGTTGGCTTGTCTTTGGACCATTGGTGGAAATCTTTAATTCGCAAAGTTCTCATGTGGCTTCCTTTGTCGTCCGGGACACCCCGGACTCTCAATTGCGAACTATGGGACCGGTTGGTGCTACCATACGCTTTCCGAAGCAGCGCTACTAGAGTCTCGATTTCAGTCTAGATACCGCAGAACCCGATTCTAACTCTTCCAAAGCCCTGCAAGGCTTCGAAGGCTCTCTTCAGACACTACGATGATACTATTTCATGGATGTTCGACCCTGGACCTGGAATTTAGGGTGTTGGGCTTAGGGGTAAGAGGCTGCTCGGATGGCAGAGCCAACGTGCCGAGGCCCAAAAAAAGAAGATTGTTGAAACTTCCTGCCTTATCCCATTGAAAGTCTTTGGCCATACCGATGATGGCAATGGAGATATTGGACCTGTCCTGGGGATTGACTGCGATGGGGCAAGGTTTTCGAAGCAATGGTCGGAGTTGCTGGAGTTCCACAACCGTGGAGCGAGGGCAAAACGGAAAGACTCCTAGCTCGTGCCTCACAAGCTCAGTGACCCTGTAAATCACGAAAACCTTGCTTCGCTTGCGTTTTCGCACTGGCAAGAATGGCGTGCCAGGCGACTCGGCTTCATTCTCAACTCTCGGGGCACGATTTCGAGAAGCAAAGCAATCGGGTCTACTCCTCCTGGAGCTCATGTTATACAGAAGTCACGCTGGATTTCAATTGCGAAATTAGCTAAAGACCTGCGGCTGAGCGTCTGCATAGCTGATCATGATGCCCAAGGCACCTGGGCTCGAGTTGCACCAGGGGCTCCAGGGTCAGACTGAAGTGACTACGAGGCCTTCCTTTTGGGGAGTTTCCGAGAATTAGGGGTACCTTATTCTTGGGGTCCTTATAATAAGGATCCTATTATTTAGGGTACTATATTAGGGTCCTTTTTGGGGTCCTTATAATAAGATATGAGGGTCCCCTATCCTTATAATAAGGATCCTATTATTTAGGGTACTACATTAGGGTCCCCTATGCTGCGCCAGGGCACAGAGGAAGACGACCGCCTCCCAGCCATCTTGACCGGGATCCGGCCGCACCTTGGAGGTTTAGGGTTTAGGGTTTAGGGTTTAGGGTTTAGGGTTTAGGGTTTAGGGTTTAGGGCTTAGGGTTTAGGGTTTAGGGTTTAGGGTTTAGGGTTTAGGGTTTGCGACGAAGATGACGAGCAAAACAGCCTGAAAACGTCAAGGCCTCGCAGCATAGACCTGGATCTGAAGACGATTCTTTGAAGGCCCAAGCCCTGGTAAGTCTGATTCCAAGCATCCAAGCATGATATAGTATGACTTAGCTACAAGGCTCTTATTTATGTGTATATATATATACACTTATGTATTAGGAAATAAGACTATGCATATGTATAAATAAATATATATATATATATACACGCACGATTCTATATTTCACGGATTGTATATGTTTTTATGTATTCATCGATCTGTCTATTTATATGTATTTAAGTCTTAGGTACTCAGTACTTACTTGTATCTCACCTCTAAATTTCTATGCTTGTTTATCCTTATGCTTATGTTCTATAAAAAAACCTTACCCCCTAAACCAATAACCGTTAACCTTAAACCCCAAACACATATCTTCTGAGCAAAGGCCTCTGCATCTGACGGCGCGAAGTGGCGGCCCGAGAGCCTGAAACACGGGACCAAAAGCACCGAGAGAGCCCGGTTTTGGGGCCCTGAGAGGGTCTGCAAGGTTTACTATCAAGGTTATTATAAGGGGCTTTAGGGTTAAGGGTTTAGGGCTTTTTCAGGGTTTAGGGTTTAGGGCTAACCCTAAAGGTTATTACAAGGGTTTACTATAGGAGCCCTTATAAATGGAATAGGGCTTGGGGCCAAGTTATGGCATGAGTAGAATACGGAACCCTAAGGCATGGTGGTGGCAATCATTCTTGCTTCTATAGTACCCCTATCCTGGTCCTATTCGTCATCATCATCATCATCACCATCATCACCATCATCATCATCATCATTTGGGGTTTAGGGTTTAAGGTATCGGGTTTAGGGTTCAGGGCTCATCATCATAATCATCTTCATCATCATCAGGAGAGGAGTGTCACCCTGCTATGGCGGAAGCGTCCGCGATGCAAGAGCACTATCTTTTATCGCGATGCTCAGGCCACAAGGCATGGATGTGAGAACTTCTAAATCTGGAAATGGAAACTCGAACCCCAAAGCCGAACCCTAAAGCAAAGCAGTAGTGAATCCCAACCCACTTTCAATCAAAGCTTTCAGCTTCCCCGCACGACGGAACCTCCAGAAACGCACAAACTGCTGAATGCCTACGACCCTGCAAAGTATCCGGTCTGGAAGCTAGGGTTGCACTTGTGGACCACTGCGTGTCGTCAATACTGCTGCTTGCAGGCATAAGAAACTAATTCACTTGCACTGCCGCACATCGGAAAGTAACCAGCAGTACCCCGCAGCAGCGGCAGCAGTGGTCGTGGTCGCGGTCGTGGGTGGGGTCGTCGTCGTCGTCGCCGTAGCGTTTATGGTACTAACAGCAACAATTCCAAGAATGATCCCTAGCACTCTGCTCGTACAATCGCAGACATTTCAACAAGCCCCATCCAGCCTCGGTCTTTCGGGCTCACGGCTTGCAGACGACGAAGGCGATGGCAAAGGCGCCGGCGCGAAGGCGTCCTCGCAGGAATCGCCACTATGGTGGAGGGCTGCGGCATTGCTTGCACTATGAAGCGTTTTAAAGTATTCCCTAATGACCTAATACCTAATAGGTATTGAAGGGCTGGGCCCGCTGCTAGCTGCAGCCAACAGTGACCATTGCACCGACTCCTGCCTCGGATCCGAAAGTCGAAAAACCCCGAGAATCAGAGGAGCTTAGGATGTCTGTTTGTGGGGGTTTAGGGTTTAGGGTTTAGGGTTTAGGGTTTAGGGTTTAGGGTTTAGGGTTTAGGGGATCTTGCTCCTGAGACTTGCATGGCCAATGAGAGTCGACTCGGTGGAGTTTCCTAGTGATAACTTCGGAAAGAGCGACCAGTTTCTTCGACGGGGCATCGATGCTTCATCTCTTGCGACGACGACTTGCCTGCATGCTATCGCAACAACTGCTAGCGCTTGGCGTTTGGTCTCTGCTTTCGATGAAACCCTCGAGGCACCCGCAGGGCCATCGTGAACGGACAGCTCAGAGGCTTTGGTAGATCCATTGCATGCGACTATAAGACTCCGCATACCTCCCTTTCTCAAGACTCAACTCTGCGTGCCTGCAGGAGGTGTACAAAGCACGTGGCGCAAACCTGATGCGTTCCACTACCGGATCTTGGGGCTGAGGCTTCTTACCTTGTTAGTATGCCTACCCTACGACGACGACTGCTACTACCACCACTACCACCAACCACCACAATAATAACCACCACCAGCAGCAGCACGACAATGACTACAAAAGGTACGGTTCTCAACCGCTACGAAAATTGACGGCACGACGACTCCTGTTTGCAAGAAAAGACCACACGACTATTGCTGCTACCGCTGCTACTTGTGCATCCCGTCACCCTACTCCTGCTAGTGCTAAGATTGCTGGTTGAGATCCAGAAGTGCGAGTAGTAATCATAGTACCAATAAGTTTGCTCGTAGTGCTTGCAATAGCAGTAGCAGTAGTAGCAACCCCTAACGAGTCCTGACAGCAACTATACTACAGTTGAGCCGGGGAGCAAAGGCTGCAAGGCGGCGCAGCACGCGCCGGTGCAGGGGCGACACGAGACGAAGCCGCGACATTGAGAGCTTGAGGGGGGAGAGGGAGATGTCGAAACGAAAGAGAGACTGCAAGAAAGCGAAGTGTGCGTGGGAGCTGGGGTTAAGCATAAGGATCTTGCCTACTGGTGCAGCAATGAGCATACACTAAAGTAGAGTATACCGAGTATACACTAGAGCTGTGCTCGAGACTTCCAGCTGAGTGCCTTGCAACTTAGGCTTGAGGTTTTAGACCAGTGCTTTGCAAGCGGCAGAGGCTCCAAATGTCGACGGTTCAGTGGCTCTTTGGGTTCGGGGTAAGAGGTTCTTGGGTGGAGGAGGATCTATGCACCTCGACATGGTGTGTATGAAAGATGTTTAAAAACACCCCCACAAGAACAGTAGAAGTCAATGACAGATCATTGAAGTCTGTTAACTAGACAAAGGATAACCTGGCCTTTCAGGGTCAGCCTGGTCTCGGACTAGCTGGAACCAACTAAGAAGGCTCCCCGGACGCAAGCACGAGAGCCTCCACACGCCAGGAGTACTGCACGCCATCCTGCGCCAGAATGTGACACGTTTTGTCTTCTCAGCATCTGGCATCTAAGGGATACTGGGGGTACCGGTTCAGGTTTGAGGGACGCACCAGTTCACATCAGCTTCGGGTCCGACTTTAGGGCAATGGGCCTGGAGTATCTGGATTATCTGGCAAATACCTGTTTCTTGGACAGCGCTTCCGACCCTCCCCATGTAGGCTTTTTCCCTTTACGCAGACTTCTTCCCGTCTGGTGGAGCTTTCGCTCCGGCCCTCGCATAGAGAGCCATAGAGACCACCTCGGGCAGGCTACAGGTTTGGCCTCGCGGTTTTGTGCTGCGCGCTGCACAATGACAAATGATCCCTGATTCAAGCTGTCAAGATCAAGCCAACCTGTCGTGTGGCAACGTCATCCCGGAGTATGAATGTTCTTGAATCAACTCAGAGATATGTGTACTCCCTCGTCTTCAAAGCAGGGTGTCGAGGAAGGGTAGCTTTGTGACACTGCCGGCCCTTAGCCTTAGCAAGGAACTCACCAACTTCACCTTCATGCGTGTTTCCTCGCATGGTGCGAAATTGACTCAATGCTGTCTACACAACATGGGTGCTCGCGGTGCTCTCCCCATGCTACGGCGCGTGAACTCAACAAACGTCTGCACAAAAAAACTGGTCACCAGGAGGTTATTACCATGTGGACAAGGAGCCTCGTGAGCCTGCCAAACAAAACCAAAGAACCAGGGACATCCGACTCTTAAACCCGGAGGGACCAGCTGTAGAGGGCTAAGACGTTGAGGCCGTTGCCGAGATCAGGGCGCCCAGGTGAAACCTAGGCATCACCACCGGTTTGAAATTGAACTGCGCCGGAACTTTAACTTAAAACGCACTTGAAAAGTCGGCACTCATCTCCCGTGCCAAGGGGTCAAAAAGACGGTAAAGCAACGGATGAAGACTCGAACCGATCCTGCCACCCTGATCCCGTTTGAAGCCCAAGATGCTGCCACGGAGGTTGTTGCCTCACCGACCGGCAGATGGGATACTTTTGCTTTGCTCTCTTGGTGCAACCTGTCTTTCCCAGATGCTAGGAGTAGCCCCCGAGTAGACTCCTTCAACCACTAGCCCAGGTTACAAAGCTCGAAAAAACCTTCCCGTTATCGCACAGAAGACGGTGGACATGCAACATCTTGGATATGCCGCAACCTTGCCTCAACACCACGGAGGTCATCCCTGCAGTAACAAAGATCGACGCACTGAAGGCATAGTTCTTAGCCTCAGCTGTTGGAAGGATTTGGGCAGGTATGCGTTGCCTACATTGGCTCATCTTGGAGCTCAACCCAGGGGTGAGAATTGTCTGCACGCGCACACCGAGTTTGCACAGCCGTTTGTGGCAACCTGGCAGAGTTCATTGCACACACACACACACACACACACTTACTTGGCTCAGCTCCAAATATCGCATCGCACTCCTTCGGGAATAACAGTGATACCTGAACTGTAAACCCACATGATTTGAGGCGAGGGGCGATACTATCGATCTGCCGCATGAGCAGGGAGATGAGTATCCCGTTGATGGCTTCGTTGAAGAGGGCTGCAATGTCGGACCTAGATGGTATCAGCATGACCGTCATTTCAGCATGACCATCATTTCGGTGTGAAGACGACGAAAAGGGTGATGCTGAAGACGACGATAAGCACATAAATCAACAACCAACAAAAGCAGCAACAACAACAAAATAAACAAACACTACCTGGCAGCAGCAGCAGCAGCGGTGTCTTCATGGTAGCAGCACCAGTAGTATTAGTAGCCGTCGTCGTCTTCGCAGTCTAGGTAAGTAGCAGATCATCGCCGCCGTCGTCGTCGGGTAGTAGTAGCAGCAGCAGCAGCAGCAGCAGGCAAGAGGAGGAGGAGGAGGGGGACTGCTGCTGCTGCTGCTGCTGCTACTACCACTCCTACTGCTGCTGCAGCTCCGACGGGACGGGTGCAGCTGCTACTACCGCGCCTCCTCCTCATAGCAACAATGATGCAAAAAGTACTGATAGTGGTCCTAGCACTAGTATTCGAGACAGCTCTGACTTTGTACGGGGCTGGCAGAGCCATGGTAATGACGACACTGGTGGAAAAGCCGCAAGCATACACACAGCACAGCAACAATGCCCGCAAAAAAGAACTACGATGTTCATGCAATAGGATCAGCAGTACTGACACTGACCATGACACGAAAATTGCTCAACTTGAAGAGATTTATTGCCAGACTTGCACTTCATGCACGAGGATGTGGACTGATCTCTGGCAAGCCATGGCACTTTGTTCTGATTCCATCACATAGACAGAAAAACTTTCTCTGCAAACCCTCAGTAGAAGTGCAGGTAGAGTCGAAAGATCCCACAACATATTGTTATATAGTACGTACGTAGATAGATAGATAGATAGATAGATAGATAGATAGATGGATAGATAGATAGATAGATAGATGGATAGATAGATAGACAGATAGATAGATAGACAGATAGACAGACAGATAGATAGGTAGATAGATAGGT